GGGGGAGGGGGGAGGGGGGAGGGGGGGTGTGTTGCTGCTTTTAAGGAAACAGGGGAAGACAGGAGTGGGAGTGAAGCCATTTGGCCCTTCAAGCCTGACTCTCTCGCTCTCCCTCCCCCACCATTCCATACAATCACAGCTGATCATCCAACTCAATATCCTGTTCCCCACTTCCTTACCACCCCCTTCCTTTGATCCCTTTAGCCCCGAGAACTCTATCGGACTCTTTCCCGAAAACATTTCGGCTCCGACCCCTTTCTCTGACAGAGAAGGTATGTGCTCTCTGGGTGAAGGTATTCCTCCTCATCTCAATGCTACCCCGTCTTCCTTAGACTGCGAGCTTGGGCAGAGAGCAGTTTAGAATCAACCAGCTGTCTGTGGGGAACTGGACTCACACATGGTGGCCAGACTGGGGTAAGGACAACAGATTTCCTTCCCTAAAGGTGGAGGGGGAGGGGGAACCTTTTAACCACGATTGATGACAATCACTGTGACCTAGGCCAGCTTTCAACTGCAGATTCTTTCGGATTTAAATTCCATCAGAGGCCCCCTGGTGGGATTCAAACCCTGGAAACCACCCACCCTCCTCCCCCAGAGCATCAGCCTAGATTATGAAGCCAACTACATCAACGTCTCCATCTCCCCGCAGCCCTGTAAATCTTTCTAACTCAACTCCCTCAAGGAAGCTACAATCAAACAACAACAACATGCATATTACCTAGCTCCCCTGAGCTAATGAAATGTCCCCCCACCGGGGAGCCTCGCGAAAGCAATTTTCAAATAACATTCGGCCTTGACGCAAGTAACCACCAGGTAGGTTTCAAGGTGCATCGATAAAGAGCTGACAGGGAGGTCTAAGGAGCTTTCAAAGCAGCAAGGATCGATTTTAATTGGTCTTTCCCCGACACAAAGGAGAAAGGACCAATATGCATATCATAGGCTCACAGCACAGTTGGAAACGTACAAACCAGTCTGCTACTGGCCCTTAGGGGAGAAGGGACGTTCGCTTCCCAAGCCCGTTGCCCCACACTGGCCTCCTCTCTCAAACCAACACATTGTCAGCCGCGATTCCAACAAACAGCAGCGCGGGCCATAAACAAGGCACCCTCGTCGACCCCTTCCTTTCGCCTCGAATCTCACCCCTCCTTAACTCTCAAAAATCCATGTCACTTTGGGGGACGGTGTTCGTGGGGGGTGAGGGGGTTGCTTCCGAATCAAAATTAAAAACAAAACCTAAACGCTTTCTGACGACGCGCGGATGCCCTGAGCTGAGCTCCGGCCTGGACGACCGGCCCACCCTACGTAGGCAGTCACCACAACACCGCCGACCCTGTCCCTGTCTCCCTCTTATCAACGAGAGGCGGTGAAGGGTTGGTAGTGGAGAGGTGGAAGAATAAAACTGCTTCAAAAAGAAAAAGGGAGTGTCCAAACAAAAAAATAGACCTGGATGTGCTCAAACCCAGGATGGTTACTCACCTTTAAATCCAAACAACTTGCCCAATGAACTCATCTCTCCAAAAGCAGGAAGTAGTTTTCAAGGTTGGGAACGGTGAGGTGATGGGGGAAGGGAAAGAGATAAACAAACTGAACTTAAAATCAAAGTTTTAAACACCCAAATAAAGCAACTGTTCTTCCTTTTCTTCAACCTTGGAGACCTGTCAACTCTGCCTGGGCTGAATTTCCAGAAACTTGCAGCCTTTTTTTTTTTATCTCCCCCACCCTCTTAAATGTATGTAAATTAAGGAAAAGACTAGTTGAGTCCAACTCCAAAACTCAACAACAACTTGCTCTACCAGCCAGGCACATCTCCCCACTTCCGGGTTTCTCTGGCCGGGGCGGGGCAAAGAGTCACGTGACACAGTCTCCCCGATAGACCGTATTCACGGTGACGTCAATGCAGCCCTCAAGACCCCGGCGGCTGCCCCGGGACCGCCAACTCCCAAAAATAAAAAGGAACGAGAACGAAATTCAAATAAGTAGCGCATAGGACGGGAATCCTAACGACCTCTCAATCGAATCCGATAACAAACTAAAGAAGATCTGAAACAAGGGAAAAAGAAGTCGCTTGTGAAGGAGAGAGATAACAAGGTGCAGGGCTGGATGAACACAGCAGGCCAAGCAGCCTGCTCCTATGATGCTGCTTGGCCTGTTGTGTTCGTCCTTGTTATCTCAGAGTCTCCAGCATCTGCAGTTCCTACTATCTCTGCTTGTGAAGAAGGGTCGCTGGACTAAACAAAAGTTTACTCTATCCACGGAGGCCTGCCAGATCCTGCCGAGTCTCTCCAGCAATTTCTGTTTTCGTCTCAATAAAATTCAGTGAGCAGTTTTGCTTCCCTTATCTGGGGAGAGATATTATCTCATTGGAGGTGGTCTGGAGGAGGCTCACTGGGACATCTCGCCGTTGTGGACGGATTGTATTAGAAATAATGGAACAACATGGAGCAGGAGTAGGCCATTCATCCCCTCGAGCCAGCTGTGCTATTTCGTATGATTGCGGCTGATCTCTTCTCAGACTCAACTCCACATTCCTGCCTGCTCTCCATAACCCTTCAACCCATTTCTTATTGAAATAAGATAATTATCTTAGGAACAACTAGGAACAGGAGTAGGCCATCCAATCCCTCGAGCCTGTTTTGCTATTCAATGAGATCGTGGCTGATCTCTGTCCCAACTCAATATATCTGCCTTTTGCTTATCCCTTAATATCTCTACTTCACAAAAATGTATCTATACCAGGTTTAAAACTAACAACAGAGCAAGCTTCAACTGTCATTTGTAAAAGAGAATTCCAAACATCTACTACCCTTTGTGTGTAGAAGTGCTTCCCAATATCTCTCCTGAACTGTCTGCTCCTAATTCTCAGACTATGCCTCCCAGTTCAAGACTTACCAACGAGTAGAAATAGTTTATCTTGGTCTACCCTGCCTTTTCCTGTAAATATCTTGAAGACTTTGACCAGAACAGCCCTTAACATTTTAAATTTAGAGAAAACAGGTGTAATTTGTATAATCTCACAAGCAATGATTGAATAGGTTGGGATTCCACTCACTGGAATTTAGAAGAATGTGAGGTGATCTCATTGAAACATTCAATTCTGAAGGGGCTTGAGGGAATAAAATCTAAGATTTCTCCCTTCTGGAAGAGCCTAGAACCAGAGGACATACTCTCATAACAAAGCCAATTTAAGACTGACATAGGAGAATTCCTTCTCTTAGAAGATGAGAGTATTGGAACTCTCTTGTCACAGAGAGCTGTAGAGGAAGAGTCCTTGTATATCTTTAAGGTCGATATAGATTCTTGGTCAGTCTGAGAATCAAGGATTAACGGGAAATGGCAGGAAAGTGGACAGGAGGAGTGTCGGATCAGCCATGGTCCTATTAAATGGTGGAACAGAGTTGATGGGCTGAACAGCCTACATATGTACCTATTTAGAGTCATACAGCACAGAAACTTTGGTCCAACCAGTCCATACCGATCATAATCCCAAACTGAACTGGTCCCACCCATCTGCTCCTGGCCCACATCCCTCCAAACCTTTCTAATTCATGTCCTTATCTAAATGTCTTTTCAACATTGTAGTTGTACCTACATCTACCACTTCCTCAGGCCACTCATTCCACACAAAAACACCGTCTGCGTAAAAAATTTGCCCCTCATGTCTTTTTTAATGTCTGTGTTCTCACCTTAAAAGTGTGTCCCTTAGTCTTGAAATCCCCACCCCAGGAAGATACAACAACTATTCAATTTATGTATGCCCCTCATTATTTTATAAACTTCTATAAGGTCACCTCTCAACCTCCTTCTCTCCAGTGAAAAAACCTATTCAGCCTTTCTTTATAAATTAAACCCTCCATACCGTTTTTAAATGTTTCTCCTCTCATATTAAAGATATGCCCTTAGTCTTGAAATCCCCTATTCTAGCAAAATACCCCTGCCATTCATGTTATCTATACTGCTCGTGATTTTATGAACCTCAATAAGGTCACCTTTCAACCTCCGATGCTGACCAGGTTTCTGAAACTGAACTAGTCCCATTTGCCCGGACATGGAAATAGCTATTTCCCCAAGCGGAAAATCACCAGTCTGCATGGATTTAAGGGGACGGTGAGTGACTGAAGAGCATATGAGGGGCAAAAACATTGTGGGTGTCAGGAATATGCTGCCCATTTGGTGGTTGAATGAGAAATTGCACCTCATTGAAAATAAAATTGAATAAAAAACACCCTGAACAGAACTAGAATGAGCGAGGCAACGGACCACGAGCTGGAGAGCAGGGTAAGGGGCTAGTATTGGCACAGAGTAAATGGATGAATACCCTAGTTCTGTGCAATTCATTTGCTGCAGTTTTACAGACAAAAATGCAAGGGAGGAAGGGAGGGGAGGAATTGGAAGGGTCATGTTGCGGCTGTACAGGACAATGGTTAGGTCATGATTGGAATACTGCATTCAGTTCTGGTCTCCCTACTATAGGAAAGATGTTGTGAAACTTGAAAGGGTTCAGAAAAGATTTACAAGGATGTTGGAGGGTTTGAGCTACAGGGAGAGGCTGAATAGACTGGGGGCTATTTTCCCTGGAGCGTCGGAGGCCGAGGGCTGACATTATAGAGGTTTATAAAGTCATGAGGGGTGTGCATATAGGGTGAATAGACAAGGGCTTTTCCCCCCAGAGTAGAGGGAGTCCAAAACTAGAGGGGCATAGGTTTAAGGTGAGAGGGGAAAGATTTAAAAGGGACCCTTTTTCATGCAGAGGGTAGAGCATGTATGGAACGAGCTGCCAGAGGAAGTGGGTGGAGGCTGGTACAGTTACAACATTTAAAAGGCATCTGGATGGGGACATGGATAGGAAGGGGTTGGGGGGCTAGGGGCTAAATGGGACTGGGACAGTTTGGGATAGCTGGTCGGTATGGACGAGTTGGGCCAAATGGTCTGTTTGGTGCGGTATGACTCTATTGGTGTTGAAGGTGTGCAGGAGGGTTGAATGGGATGGAGATGGGATAGTATAGAACAGATGGGTCGAGCGTAGCAGCAGCTGCTGCGATCAGAGTCCGAGAGGAATGTAGTCCATTCAGCTAGGGCTGGCTGAACACGCAGGCAGCCTGTGGCAATACTGAAACTAATCGGGGGGAAGGAAATATTCCACCAACAGTGACAACATGGCAAAAACATCAGGCGCAGATACAGCCCACTCTGCTCGGCGGGAACAGCTCATTATCACAGCAACGTGCCCTCTCTGTCACAGTCACACCCTGCATACACACACACACACACACTCTCTCTCTCGCTCTCTCACTTACACACAAACACACACACACACTTAACGCTTCACTGCCCTGAACAGCCATTCAGGATCCACATGGAAACAAAGACTCTCACTCCTCACTGTAACACTCTCCCTCATACCCCACACCCATCACTGTAACACTCTCCCATATACCCCACACCCCTCACTGTAACACCCTCCCATATACCCCACACCCCTCACTGTAACACCCTCCCATATACCCCACACCCCTCACTGTAACACTCTCCCATATACCCCACACCCCTCACTGTAACACCCTCCCATATACCCCACACCCCTCACTGTAACAC